CATTCACACTTCCCAAAACTCTTTGTAACTCTTTGGTGTTACTGGGGTTTTTTAAGTTTCTTAATAACTTCTATATTATGGTTATCGGGAATTATTCTACCATTTTTTTATTTCATAGCCAAGAAATGTGATCTGATCTCTGGCGAACACACACTTGTTTCGATTCAATTTAATATGCTCCTCTTTAAACACCTCAAATAAAATTTTTAAATGTTCTAAATGTTCTTTCTCAGAGGAAAGTAAACGATTATATCATCAAAGTAACTGCAAGCGAAATTAATTTTATTTTTTGTTAATATTCGTCTAATTGTTCTGTTAAAAATTGCAGGTGCATTTTTGAAACCAAAAGGGAGTCTTAACCATTCGAATAATCCAAAATTCGTGCAAAAAGCTAATTTCTCAGTATCTGCAGGGTGAATCGGGATATGCCAGAAACCAGATCTCAAATCAATTGTAGAAAATACTTTTGCTTTACTTAATTTGTCTAACAAAGTGTCAATGCGAGGAAGAGGGTTTGCATCTGTTTTAGCCAGGGAATTCAATTTTCGATAATCTATACACAATCTAGTTTTTTTTTCCTTCCTCACGTTTAAGTACTAAAGTCACGGGGGACGAATATGGGCCACAACTTTCTTTAATTATACCTGCTTGTAATAATTGATCAATTTGGGTCTTAATTTCCTCTTCTTCCATAGGGGATGTTCTATAAGGTCTTAATGATACAGGCAAATCAGAATTTAAATTAATTCGTTGAGGTTCTGAGGTTCAATATTAATTTTTCCTACATCATACTTATTTTTAGAAAACACAGACGAATAATCATTTAACAATTTTTCCAAGTTATACTCTTTGTTATCGACAGTATTAGAAACAGCATTTTTCACATAAATGTTAGACTGAAAAACTAATTCCTTTGGATTTGTAGTCCGAGATTTACAGGTTGGAAAATTTCTTACATCATCATCATTATTATTAACACATGGATAAACATTTATTGTACCACCTTGAAGTTGGAGGTATAGAGATATGGGTCAGCTGTCAAAATGGCAGTCATCATTAAGTACAACAGCTCTCTGTTTAATTTTTAAATTAGTACAATCAATACTCAACTCAAATAATTTGCATTCATAAAGTCCTAAAATTACATAATTCAAATTATTATCAAGAACAAACAAGGTAATTTTGTTTACTAATCCGTCCAATTTTCATTTGTATACAACATATTTTGTTGAAGATTATTTTTTCCTTTAGTTTGGGTTACTGAAAATGATCTAACTCTTTGTACTTTTAAACGCAATTGTCTAGCTGTTTTGGAAGAAATTATTGATATGGTGGCACCACTGTCTACAACACACTCTAGACGTTTCTTATTGGACAAATATCCCGACACCTTTAATAGTCAACTACTGTGAGGGGTTTCTGGGGTTGGTTCTATTGCAAGGGGCGTAACATTAGGTGTATCAGATCTCTCCCCTCTAAAAGGACAAACCTGAAACCAGTGAAAAGCATTTGGAATTCCGTTCCGGGTGCAAAGTCTACAGGGACTGGGTGGCAATGGCAATCTATTTTGAGAATTATAATTATGATGGCTTGTAAATCTTGGACCACTGAACCGATTATAAAAATTACTTGGTCTCTGAAAACGTTGGAAATTGTTGGGTCTAGGAGAATCTTGTCTCACTGTAGTTGAAATTCTACTTCTATTAAATCGATTGTAATCTTGGGGACTGTTCTCAATCGGAGTAACAAATCTGGGAGGTGCACTTTTGATTTGTTGATTTTCGCTAATCTTAATAAGCTTATGGACATGAGTAAGCCAAGAGATGGGGTCAGAGGGTGCGTTGATCGTCATTAAGGATTTTAATTCTGTAGGAAGGCCATCCGTCAGACCCTCCAAGATCATTTCATGAGTTAGATTTAATTTTTTACCAATATCTAATTTTTTTGCGAAAATATTGCGTTATGTCCTCTTTATGATTGTACTTGTAATTGGCAAAATCACCAAACGTAGTTAAAGTGGGGTTCGAAAAAATTTTCCTTTAAAATTTGGACTAATTCCACATATTTAGTAATTTTTATGGCAGTTTTTGACATATACGCTAAGTGCATTACCTTTTAGATATCGAGCTACATTATTAAGCTTCCACGTTTCATCTTTATCTAAATGAGTTTTGTTAAAGTACTCAAGCCGTGAATTTATATCCATATCATTCTGCGCGTCAAAGGGAATTATACTTGTTTCAGGTTCAGCGCTAGCTGCCCTTAATGAATCATCAGGATCAGAGATGTTTTCATTAGCCATTATTCTCTTAATAATACTTTCATAAATAAAACTAATAATACTTTCATAAATAAAATTAACTCAAAAATAATACTCTTTAAATTTTCCCAAAACAATATTAAAACCAAAATACATCCTTTAAATACCAATACAAAATTTAACACACATTTATACCAAAATAATACTTTTTGAAATTTTCAAAATAAAAACACTATTATTAAATCAGTAATTATAATTCAATAGTAATAATATCATTTGCATCGCCAATCTTTTTACTAATTGCTTACTAATTGCTTCTGTTTGACTTATTGTGACGAGAATACGAGTGATGAAATCGACACGAAAATACACATTTTTGTGCACTCTTGATTAGATTTTTGCAAAACACGATCAATCACCACACAAGCACAAAGCTCTCGAGAGCAACACAGAACGCCGTAGACGTAGGGAAAGATTTCCATCCTCAAAAGTAGGTCAACGGTAAGAGCACATTTGATGAACGACGAACTTTCGTTGGAAACACAGATCGCACATCACAGGGGCAGAAGGGTGCTTCTCTGGACGTAAAATAATCTGCAGAATACCAGAATACAGGTAACAGAAGGATGATTCTCTTGAAGAAAGAACGCCTATAGAAAAATGTAGAAACATAGAAGTCACACAGCGGCAAATTCATCTAAAGTGCGTAACATTTTATCCGTATAATCCTTGGGGTATTTTCTTTTTTTAGATAATCCCTTGGAAAGTGGTATCCTACCGGCTTTCTGAAATGTAATTTCTCATACATTATTTGTTTTGGGCAGCCGGGGCAACAGGAATGAGACAAATTTTGGAATATAAAGTGGTAGGTTTATTTTAGCATCCATCTCGTAAGCGTTCTCCTCGTACCTTGAGCAGAAGCCCTACTTATACATATGTGTACGTCACGAGGCTCCTCCAATCAGTGATATTAATTGAAATCACGAGGTGACGCTATCTTCTCATCAGGAGTGTTCTTAAGTACTTTATGTAATATGACAGATTTATGAGTTTGGCAATTTGGCAGGCGCCAACAGGTTAATATATTTTATACTAAAGAAAGGATTTCGCCAAAATTTAGGAACAGGGATGCAATTTAGGTAGAGAATCGCCAACACATTATTAAGCAATATTAATAGAATTTAATTCAATCAATTTATTTAAAAATATCATTACATATATATATATATATATATATATATAAAAGCCTGCTTTAAATACAATAAAATATTTGGTTTTATATCTCATATTGTGATTCTGAGATTATTTTCTAATGATGCTGCAAATAAAATTATCTATGCTTATTTTTAATATAACACTGTGATGAGAATAACAGTTTGCAAGATATGGCATGAAGATATGTCACGGCCTGAATGGAATAAAACTACAAGAACATTTAAAAATATAAAGGCAGGTAAAGAGCACTGAAATAAGCAAATTTGAAAATGGAATATGAGTGCTGAAATGGGGCACCAAGTGCTACAGGGCATTATTGAGTGGAAAGTAAAAGTGTTTTGCTTTGATACACAAATGCAGAGTTTGCTAAGATGAATTTTATCAATGGGGTTGTTGTTAAAATGAAGCAGTTACTCAAAAGATTTATAGAGAACGATTCCCAAATACCTCTTTTTGGCAGACACTCCATTTTGTCTGCAATATCATAGATAAAATACATATTGATGAGGCCAGTGTTTGAGTAATTATACATACCACTTAAAATCTCTGCAAAGGATAACAATTTATGCTAGCAGATTGCTTTCATCTACCACTCAACAGTTCCCTATACTGCCTAAATGCACCATTTTGGCATACACATGTCATTACAAGATTTGCTTGTTTGGGTTTCTTCTATCAACCTTTACATGTTTGCATGATATTATTAAATCACCCTGTGTATGAAGCCATGATATGCTGATAATGAAGTTTTGCTTCCCACCAAACACACATAATGCCCAAAACTGACACATCACTGATAGCAAATTCTGGACTAAAGAGTACAAAATCAATCTCAATGTCTATAATTTCTCCTGCAATTAAATTAAACATTAAATATTACAATTTTCCATTAAACCATCCCTTCATTAATCTTCCCAATATTATATTTATTCTTTCTGTGACTAAATGTTTTATTTTTTTCTTTGTGTGATATTTCTTTATTTCCATAGCATAAGCCATTTCTTATTTTTCATTTTGCGTAAAACCATAAACCATTAAATGATTTTTTTTTAAAATTTATTTTAAGTTCCACCCTGAGAATTCCTGAAACTCAGAACTATAATACTGGATAATTCTGTTTTATATATTAAGGCTGTATGTGTGCACTTAAAACATTTGATAGCTGGACAACTAAATATGCCTCTAATAGAATAGCGACTATTTTCTTTACTACTGTAAGTGGACTGTAGATAACTAACAAGGTAATTTCGAGTCTTTTGCTGGTAAAGGGCAAGTAGAATAAATGCAGACCATTCTAATAACTGCATTTCAAGCACTTTGTTTTAAGCAAAATACACTTCAACTGATTTCTTAAAATCCAAACATTAAGTCATTATTTTAAACATTCTTAAAAAAAAATTTCTATTTTTTAATAATCAATAATGTGCATGAATGCTTTAACTATATGTAGGCCATTATAAAAAAAGATGGTGCTAGAGCAATTTACAAATTTTACAAAAAAAAAAAATTCAAAAGTATATAATACCTAATAGGATCTTTTGCTCGTAACATATACCATGCAATTCGTAGTTTCTGCCACCATGACAATCGAGCCAGAGCTCTTTGAAGAGTTATATGAATAGGACGATCTCCTAAATGAACTAAACATCCAGGAATTCGCTTAGCCTACAATAAAAAAATAAAAATTGACTAATAATGTTTTAATAATAAAGGTAATGTTAAAGAAAACCACAAGCAACCCCTCCCCCCCAAAAAGAGAGGGGGGAACAGAAAAATGATATATAATACCTCAAAGCAAATTTAAAAAAGACAATTACTTTACTAATTACATACAATTACTTTACTTATTTCAACTTAATATAACCTAGCTTAGTAAATTCAGTAAAAATTTTTTAAAAATATTTCCTCAACATCTTGCTCAATGAATCTAAAATTCACTGATACAAAAATATCACTGTTATAAAAGTTATTTCCACTTAGGGCTGGCATTGCAACTAATGAAATTCTGCAACTAATTCTGCAATAAGTTATTAATTAATTAAAAAAAATTGTTCTTCATGTGATCTAAATCAAGATAAAAAATAAGAAATGCTATTATAATTGATAAGAGCTTGTATTAAAAGATATTTTGCTTTGCATTTAAATAACATTTCTTCAGTTGATATACATTGCATATCTCACATACTACGTAACTTCTGCCATCATTCTTACATCCATTAATTAAAATAAATGTTGTTTACCTCAGCATATGCTCTTCTGAATTCTCCTCCAGGTGCCATTCCTAGCTGTTTCGTCAAGTGAGCAGACATACTTAGAAGAAGAACATACAATACTCCTTGTAGTAGACCATTCTGTTTATAAGGGGAAAAAATACTATGAATTAAAAAAATGAATTCATCAGAGAAATCATCATCAATAGAATTTCTACTAAAATGTTGATAAGATGAGATAATAGCAATAATAATAGATTGAACAAAATAATTAGCTGGATAAATAAAAGTGAAGAAATAGTGCTATTTGAAGTGGTAGCTGAACATAGTTAATCAAGTTCCCTCTCGTTTCTCTGCTACACCGAGAAATGAAAGCCAGAAAGCAAAACATTCCACTCCAAACAAATATCAGTCTTTGAGCTTCACTTATTGTGGACTAATAACATAGAAAAATGCTAAATCCCCCCCACACACAAACACAAAACCATTTGAGGGCTGAAAATTAAAATGTTGTTCATTAGCCAGGGAAAAAAAAAAAAAAAAATTGGGACAGTATCTTTTTAAAACCTTTATTAATGGCATACCAAAATCACCTGGTGTCACTCTAGCCCTTTATGCAGATGGCACAACCATCCTCTCTCAACAACCACAACTGGATTTTATGGGCTCTAAAATTCAGAGTTATCTCTCTAGTCTTGAGCTTCAGCTCATAACCTGGAAAAGCAAATGAATGGTCACTAAATGCACTGCTATGATCTTTTTAAGATCCCCACTCCCATATCCTACCATTAATTTAATTTTTTTTTTTATGACTACACTCCCTTGTGTGATTATCTTGTGTTAACTTGGATTCCAATTTACTCTGACGTCTTCAGATTGAGAATATTCTCAAAAAAGCGAAGAAAGTCAGAACCCAACTTTACTCAGTTTTAGTTCAAAACAGCCAACTATCAATTAAAACCAAAGTTCTCTTTATTGCAATTATAAGACTTTTCGTGTATGCCTGTACAATCTGAGGTACAGTAGCTAAGACACATATTAAGAAACTCCAAGCCTTTCAAAGTAAAACCCTACATTTAGCCCTTAATGCACCCTAGTTCGTTCACAGCGATATAATTCATTCAAACCTAAACAATAAACCCATCGAAGTCTTAAAAAAAAAAAAAAAAGACTTAGCCAAAATTTAATTTTGAAAATTGAACAGACTTTATAATCATGCAGTTTAAAACCATCCTGCTTGCATCTCAGCTATTCCTGGTTCTGCCAAATGACCATGCTCCATGACTGGACAAGAGTACGATAGCTCCCCACCATGTAAAAAGAGATGCCAAGCTTCAGTTTCAGCTATGATGGCAGCAAGGATGGACACTGCAAGCAGGAGCTGTCCCCTCTCTTAACTAAAAGAAATGCTATATTCAAACTCCTGTCTTCAAATTGCTACCGTCACCTCATCTATCTACTATCAAGATCTTCAAACATTATTATCAATCTGTTATACTTTATCACATCAATAATTGCAGATTAAATTCTGTTTAGATATTCATCCATGTGATATCCATTTATAATACTATTTCAAGATTTTACATCCATGTGATCAAGGAGTCTATTAATCTTAATCGCTTTTCTATTTGCTTTTGCTTTGTCTGAAAAGTTCATAAAAATATAAAATAATAATAATAAAAAAATCCTGAAAGGTTTCGGATTTTAAATAACGTCCAAAGAGGCCTTTTTTTAACCTTTTGTCTGTTACCTTTAATTATTAAATATCACATTCTTTGCATTTAAACCATAAAATTCAGTTCAAGAGCAATATCACAAAATTGTTTTAAATTGAGCATATCGTTAGAATTTCCGATACAGAGTCTCGCGTGCTGGAGATAATTTTTTTTTTTCTGTACAACGTTGCCATTGCTCACTTTGAAATCCTTGAGTTTGTTAATCAAAAGTTCGTCAAAGTTTTACAAAATATGAAATCAATAATAAAACAAATTCCAAATTTCAAATTTGGGCTTTCACATGCCCATATTTGCAGTAGGATTATGTCATTCAAAATTCGATGGCTCTATGTACCATTGCTTTATCACAATGTGAGAAATATACATACATTTATGCAGATTTTTCATTATTTAATTTCTTCAAATATAATGCAGGACTCTAACATTTGGTGGCAACAGTTTGAAAAGTGTAACGGACATTTATAGTGAGCCAACGTAAAATCGTGAAACGAAAACAATAGTCCTTCAGGAACAAAGCCCCATTGGACTAAATAAATAAATAAAAATAAAATATAAAATACAAAAATATCTGTTATCTACCTAATCCAGTGGTTAGCGTGAAGACGCAGGATCGAAAGGTTCCAAGATCGAATTTTACTAATTCACAGTTATCTCTTCCAAAAGTTTCAATATTCCTAAAAAATGCTCTTTATCCTCCCTAAACTTACACAAGTTATGCTGACTTCCTCTTTTACTTTCCTTAATGACTATTATATATCTTTTCTTCATTCTGCTCACTATTTAAATTTCATGATGTAGAGGTAGAGGGTACGATACCCAAGCACTCCAAAATACTTAATCCTTGGATCCCTTTATTAATTACAACACAAAATTGAATTATTCATGTCTATCCCCCTGACGACAGCAAACCTACTTCAATCTGACTGTTCTAATACTTTGGCCATTTGGTCTAGACCAGAGTTTCCCAAAATGTGGGTCGCGACCCAGCACCGGGTCACAAATTTCAGCTGGGTCGTGGAAAAAATTGTAAAAACACAAAAAATCTCTCTTACCTCACCAGTCAAATAAAAACCTCACTTTGACATCTTTTGAAATTTCAAAATTAATAGCTGAAACTGGGTATCCTCATAGTGCTGTAGAAAAATTAATACTTCCCGCTTTGAATATTGCTGCAAATAATCTATGCAGAATAAAGGGAACTTTTTTTTTTTTTTTTTTTTTTTTTTTGTGATACATTATCAAATAATACAGTTAAACAGAGAATTGATGATTGGCTTGGTTTTTCTGAATGAACACTCACCATCTAACACTTTGCTCTAAATTTAATATTTTTTTAAACTTATTCAAGTACTGCAGGTGGCAACCCTTTAACCCCGTTTCCTACTGGACCGTTTAAATTCGGATGCTCTGATTGGCTAATTTCGATTCGTCATTCAGTGCCTTCTCCGGACATGCACCACTCACGTGTATCAAAACAAGGTTATGTTTGAATTTTTGTTACCTATTTTATTTGACAATAGATATTATTACTTATTATTATTAGCAACTTCATATTGGTAAGTAATAAAAATACTTTCTCTTATAAAAAATTAATAAACAAATTATTTCTATTAAAGCTTTCAACCTTTTTTTAAATGGATAAGTGGTTAATCAAGAAAACTACAGATTTAAATGATGATGATCAACCAAGTACGAGCAAAGCTGAACATCATGATCGTGAAGAAACTGTGGCTGAAGCACCTAAAGCAGATATACAGCATCAAAATAACAAGCTCACAACTAAGCTACTTCGACTCACAAATATTGTGACAAATATTTATGCTTTGGTTTCATTCCTGGCAGCAGTCAAAATAACTTGCCACTAAGTGTTATTTGCAATTAGCAACTTTCAAATGAAAGTATGAAACCGTCAAAGATGAAACGGCATTTTTAACACATTCCATTCTGAGTACTCTGATAAGGCAATTAACTTTTTTACTGATAAGAAAAATGAATTGATTGTTGCCTAAAAAAGGGGAAAAATACACTCTCACCTCACCAGTCAAATAAAAACCTCACTTTGACATATTTTGAAATTTCCAAATTAATAGCTGAAACTGGGTATCCTAATAGTGCTGGAGAAAAATTAATACTTCCCGCTTTGAAAATTGTCGCGAATAATCTATGCGGAATAACGGGAAAATGTTTATTTTAGGCGATACCATTATCAAATAATACAGTTAAACAGAGAATTGATGATTGCACTGGTTAAACAGAGAACTGATGATTGATTGGCTTGGTTTTTCTGAATGAACACTCACCATCTAAAAAAGATGCTATTTTTCCATTTAAGGATAGATTCCACGATTTCGAGTGGTTAATAAAAGTAGCTAATTTGTGCAACATATTTGCTACATTCAACGAATTGAATTTAAATTTGCAAGGCTTTGGTTTTAATATTTTCAAAGTATCGGAAAAAGTCGTTGCAATAATTAAAAAAATGACTCTGTGGAAACAGTGCTTTTCAAAAGAAAATGTTAAATCTTTTGAAACATTACATAAATTTGTTGAAACCCATTCAAACTACAATGAAGATTTACATCTTGAAACACTATCAATTTCAATTCTAGAACAACCTTTCGGAGCTAATAAATAGTTAATGACTACTTTCAGATATTCCTTCAAATAATATGTGGATCAATGATCCTTTTTCTGTCGATATTGAAAAGGAAGAAATGCTTAATCTTAGTGAACAAGAAGATGATAATTTAATTGAAATTTCATGCGACACTGATCTTTAAAAAGTGTTGAAACTGTACCACTAATTAATTTTTAGTTGTGGTGTCAAAAGGAATATCCAAGCGTAAGTGAAAAAGCGATACAATTTGTAATGCCTTTTGTCACCACTTATACGTGTGAAACTGTGTTCTCAGCCTTGGTGTACTTAAAAAATAAGTATTGAAACAGATTGGATGTCGAACCTAATTTGAGAATAAAATTAACATCATTAAGTCCTAATTTGAAATTACTATGTGATGAAAAACAACATCATCCTTCGCACTAAAGGCAAAATATGTAAAACAAAATTTATTTACTTCAAGTTTTAAATGAAGATAATGGATTATCTTTAATTACTTATGTTTTTGTTATATAATTATTTTACAGTTTTTGTGTACCAAATAAACAAACAAATAATTTGAATTTTGATTTTTATTAAAAAATAAAATTTGTTTTGTAAATACATTTTTATAATAAAGTGGGTCGTGAAAAAATTAAAAATCTCGTACCTGGCTGAAGTCAAAAAAGTTTGGGAAACGCTGGTCTAGACCACTTTATTTTTGATGAAGTTCTAAATTTGTTTTTACTGGTTCTCAACTTTTTCATTTACATTTTTTTAATACTTTGGAAGGTTACAATTTTTGTACTTAATAGAATTTAATTACAATATATTTTTGCTGCTAAAGTGCAATTATTCCTTTGGTTTAGATAGCATTTATATTTTTTAAGATTTGCCTAATTCTATTTTCCAATACATAGATTACCAAAAAAAAAGGGGGGGGAAGATTATTGCCAGCATACAAGGAATCTTCTTAAATTGTACAGAAAATATAAATACTTAAATTAGAACGAATAAAATGAATCTAAAATTCCAAGAATTAAATGTAAAAATTAGTTTGTGCAATTTCTTCCATCTTCTAGTCAATTTTTTTCAGAATTTTTTTGTATGGTTCTATCTACTGTGGAGGACAAATAATGCAATTCCCCACAATAAATTAATAAGCAAATTCAGTTTAAAGACTTTAAAAATGAAACAGAACTAATCTTATTTTTACAAATAATTGTTTAATTAGATAAACATACTTGTATACCTTTCATACATCTTGATCTAATTTGTTAACTACAGCAGCAATTACGAAATCTAAATTACTTTTCTGATTTCTTATTTTACCTTAATTCACATAATCTAAAGAATCAGGGGAAAAAAAAAAAAAAAAAAAAAAAAAAAACAGATTAGTTTGACAAAATTTGATAAAATTTCTTTCCACAAATCATGAAGTGCAAAAAGTGAATTTATGCAATTCCTCGCTGCAGAATTGTGTCAGAACACATTGGATGACAGCAAAATGGAGTGTATAAAAAAAGGAAAAAAACAATAATAATCATTCTTCATGAGATAAACTTACAGTAGTTCAGAAATGCTTTCCTTGTTCAGCAGATTTTCGGTTCATTTTAATAGAAATCTTTATTAATTCATTTATTTTTTGCACATTTTTCAGAAAATTTTTAGTTAAAATTGCTCATAAGTATGAACGCTTATTTATTTCACATTTATTTTTAACTTTAGAAGTACTAGCTACATCACCATGTATTTTAGGACTTAATAACTTTTAACCTCTTGAGGATCAGTGCATGGTGAATGAAACACAGCCCCAGGACCCAACCCCAAACCCCCGAAATGGAGCATCGCCACCGGCTCATGCATTTTCAGCAGTTAAGCCTACTTTTACAAAAAAATTCATAGAAAATCAGCATTCTAATTATAATGACTTAAATTTTTGAACCTTCACTGTCAGTTTCAATTACTGCAATTCTTTTAAAACTTTCTATAATATCATAGTCAGTGTTGTCATGTTCTGTCTCAATATTACCATCAAATGCAACATATTCTAAACACAAATCTTTATAATTTTCCTCACTGATGCCCAAAATATTAGAAATAGTTTGAAAGTCCTCTGTGGCTTCACCTAAATAAAAAGCACACTTTCTAAAGCAATTTCTAATTGCGCTTTGGCAGATGGCTTCCCATGCATATGACTATAATATATGTAGCCCCTAACACAGCTATTGGCTTAAGTTATCTTCTTTGAAGTGCTTACATTTTCACAAGACTCAATTTTGTTAATCTTTTTTTTAACGACATCTTTTCTGTAATTATATTTGAAAGCTTTTATAATACCTTGTGTTATGTCATTAGTTACACCTACGCATCTCAGCCCCCTAGCGGCATTTTCTGTATATACTTAGGAGAAGAATAAAATTATTCATTAGCAGAATACAGTCCACCTTGTTCAAAAGGCTGAATGACAGAAGTCGTATTTGCAGAAAGAAACATTAACTTAATGCTTTTCAGAACAATATCAGACAGGTATGCAGCACAGTTACCTAACAATAAAGCTATATCATTTTTTTTTTCTGTTGTTTCATATTTAAACTTTAATGTGTGCTCCGGTAATCCTGTAAAACAGACCAGTTTCGTCTATGTTACAAATTTCATGTGGCTTATATTCTTATAACATCTTTTATCCATTTCTTACTTGAATAATGATCTGTCCCTTACTTCTCACCATGTAGTTTCTAGTTTCTGATAAACAATGTTATTTCTTTTTTTACATCTTGCCATCCATCAGCTGGCATAAAATTTTCTCCTAGCAATTTAACAAATTCTACAGCTTTTGTGATCAAAAGAACTCTAGAAATTGGAACATTTTTTAGTGTCACAGCTTCAAATAATTCTAGAAGAGTGGTTTCAATGTCTCTCGATTTTCCATTTCTCTTGCACTTCCTTGAGACATTTGTTATTTTTTACTAGGTCTTTATCAATTTTATTTCTTTGTTCAAGTAAACTGCACCACTATTTTAAAAGCTGTTTCTCTTTGGCTGCATTTACCAAATGTATCATAATCTTCCAGTAATTTAACCTTTTCTCTATCAGACTTAAATAATTTTATTCACCCATTTACAAAATGTTACAAATCACACACACATCGCAGATAAAAAAATGTTTCTTCCTGTGATTCATTCAAATCCAAAAATTCCGATTTCTTGCCAATACGAAGACTGAAACTGTGCCTGTCAAGTTGATCTGTCAACTTCATGATGATTATAGGTGTAATCAATGCTTTCCCCCCCCTTCAGCCTACAATGAGCACTCCCCTTTTCCAATCAAAGATTCATAATGTAAGATAATGCAAGAAAGCATTTCCTGATGTTTTCTGAGAACAGTCTCCAAACTTAATGTGTATATGCACATCCATCCCCCATGGGTCTTGGTTCTAGCTACACTGGCAAAATTTTCTGCTAAGCCTGTCTTATTGACACACTATAAAAGTGAAAGATAAATGAAAGAACTTCAAACAGCTTTTATCAGCCACAAAGAGTTTATTCCGGATCTGAATAATCAGACTTTTGCCAGTTTGAGTTTTATAAATAGTAGAGATGAGTTTAATAAATGACAGTTTTACTATTAATTAGCATATATTCGTTTTGTTTCCTGGAAATTTGAATGCAGTAAGCAGTCTGGTTGAGTTCATTAACCAGTGAGTTTAATAAGTGACAGTATTCATTTAATACTTTCTGGTAAAACACCTTACATTCTGCAAATATGATTTTTTTTTTTAAAATAGGATGCCTCCAACACCTGTCTTCCAACCTACCATTACTAGCGCATTGTCTGCACTCAATTATCCACAAATCCTCTTTATATATATATATATAAAACGGGAAGAGCAAATAAATAAGGTCAATTTCTGAAGAATTTTTTTTTTAAAAGAAGAAATGATAATTGGATACATATTTGCATCTACAATATTGATTTCATGCATGGAAACGCAAAATGTTGCTGTTTTAATAGAATCAATATCTAAAGATTTATTTTACACATTTCTTTAGTTACAGTGATATTTGTTCTTGCACATGGGTATTTCTCCGTGATTTTGCAAAATATAACAATAAAGTTACAAATAATACATATCAATAAATTTTAATTACCCTAGGCTACTTATTTGCGGCTTTAAGTTTAATACATAATCATGATATACAAATGATCTAAAACAATACAACTTACCTGTTCTATAGCAGCTTTCATTTTTTGAAAATTCATATTTTTTGACTCTTCAAGAATAGTTTTTTCATCTAAAGACAAGATGTTAACTCTGCTTTTGCATAACTCAATCATGACAATATCCGGCTGAACAGCTCTAATTGTCTATAAATAAGAATATTTATTGTGAGTCAAAATTAATACAGCAAATGAACTTAATGTTATTTAAATAATGAATATTAAATAAATTGTCAAAATGTAATTTTATATTCTATCAAATGTTTCCATGGGCTAGATTAAAAATTGCATCTTTTTTTTTCATTCATAAATTAAATTCATAGCAAATAAAATCTTACATTAACCTCGTTTGATTTTAATTCCTGAGATGATTTGACATGCACAGAGCTAACAGTAAATAGTAAGTAAGTATTTTTAAGTTATTTTTTGCTTTAAGTACTTTTTAAAAATTTTTATGTAGTATCTAAGTATTTTCTAAATATGAAATTATATTTTTAAATATATATTTGTTTTTTAAAAATTGTGAATTAGTTCTTTTTGTTTCTTTTATTGGTTTATATGGATTATGTCTAGTTCTTTTTTAGTTTCTTTTTACTGATATGCATATTCGTGTAGGGGAGGTTTTCTGTAGACAAGGGTTTCTAAAATACATTGGTTTCTAGATTTTTTTTTAATTATTTTTTTATAAAAATTAATTTTTTTAAAAATTTAATTTTTAAAAAAAAGTTTAATTCTTGAATTTAGTTGCTTGTTTCTCAAAAGACTTCATTAGTATTTTCCTTTTTGAACTTTAATTCTTAAATGTTAATTTCTAAGGGAACCACTATATTGGAATTACTTTTGGTTTTGACTTTTACCCTTGCCTGCATGAATGATGAAACACGAATTGAATGATTGGAGAGTTAGGTTTGGAGGCAAATTCCCCTTGATAAGTCTGTCTCCTGCCTACTCAACGTTCATTCACATATGCATTTTTTAAAAAAATGTTTAATTTTAATTTATTAAATTAGTAAATTTATTTTCATGGATTGATTTTGCACTTGATTTACTTATGCTTCTGAATTTAAATGATATTATAGATTAGTTCGAGTATTAAATCTTTTATATGTTTGCACATTTTTTAAAAAATTATTTTGGCTTTTTTCCTTCTTTAAGGATTTAAATTTGCTTTTTTACTTTTATACGTATTTGTTAAAAATTAAATTTAAATTTGTTTAAATTTAAATTTCATTCCTTGCAGCAATGGCGCAAAGAATATTTAATTAAATTTGTATTTAAATTTAATTTTTTAAATTAAATTCAATTTATTCTTATAAATATATTTATATACGTTTGGTGCGGTTGATTGCAAACAATATACGAGGTGCACATCTACATGTTATAGCAGTCCTATATATAGAATTTCAATGTTCTGAGGCTACTCGTTTTTGAGTTATGCGAGATACGTACGTACATACGTTAGTACAGACACCACGAAAAATTCTCTTTAGAATTCATTTTAAAGCAGTTTTATAATTTTGTTGGAGGAAAAGAGTCTTTTATTGTTCTTATTTACAGATATGACGCAAAACCATTGTTAAATTGCATTCAATAGCAGTCAAAATGGATATTTTCGTTGAAATATGCTGCCTGAAACTTTTCGTGATTACAATACTTCCTTTTTACTTCGTACAAGGAAGTAAAAGTAAAACTTTCCCATTAATAGAATATGAGAAGAGATGCTAAATGAAGATGATATAGTTACATTGCGATGACAATGCACAGTCACCAAACAATTAATAGAATGGTGAAATAATTAGTATTTTTTCAAATCCAGAAAATACCGAGTGGCCATAATTAAATTGACAGTGCTCACAGTGTTCTGTAGCGCGATCTATTTGCGAGAATGACGCCACATTTTGTAGGAAGATTAAACAAGATGGGGGACAAAGGATTCCGCGAAAAAACAAATTAGTTCCAAAAGTCACCGCTAGGAGAATATTTAATGCTGTGTAATAGAAAATAGAGTGTTAACAAATGCAAATCAATACGGAAATTACCTTTTATTTTGCATTCAAATGAAGTTCAATGTGGCTGCCATTGTTGTGGACCACATATTGCATTCTGTGCACAGTATGCACAACAGCAGAAAGTAACATGTTTGCAGGAATCTCCCGTACAGTCCGTGATATGTTATCCTTCATTGTAGCCAGGTCCTGGACCACTCCTTGATAGAGACCTTGGACTTAAGGTAACCCCATAGCCAGAAGTCGCATGGGGTAAGATCAGGCAACCGAGGTGGCCATGGAGTTGGAAAGTAGCGTCTAATGACTCTTTCTGTTGTGAATTTCTGTCATAGCATCTGTTGCACATGTACAGCAACGTGTGGAAGGGCTCCATCTTGCATGAAAATGATTTCCCTCAGGCAATGTCTTTGCTGAAGTGCTGCAATGACAAAGCTGTTCAACATGTGGCGATATTTCTCTCCAGTAACAGAACATGTTTTCGGTCCTGTCGGGGTAATGTTCTCATAGAAGAATGGACCTACGATAAATTCTGCTGTGAACCCACAACGAAAAGTTATGTTTGGTGAATGTAAGGGAATTGCTGTGACTGCATATGGTGATTTGTCATCCCAAATTCGGCAGTTTTGGGTATTCACAGTTCCATTCAGGTAAAAGTGGGCCTCGTCTCCCCATAAGATTTTTCACGGCCAAGCATCATCTACCTCCATTCCGGCAAGAAAGGTGAGAGCAAAAGTCAATCGCTTATCATGGTTGGGGTAGAGTAACTCCTGTACGCGGCTGATCTTGTAAGGACAGAAGTTGATAATCTTTCGTAAGATTTTTCATACCGTACTGTAAGGCATATAAATATTCTGAGCTACTCCACGAGCGCTAGAGGTGGCAGCAATATAGTCTGGTCCTCTGCCGACAATCGCCGTGGCAACTGCTTCGATTGTATCCTGTAGTACAGGTTTTCGTCCTCTGCCTGACTGAACCTTCAGAGAACCTGTTTTCTCAAATGTCGCAACCACTGCTTTTAGCCCATTAACTGACACAGGACTGTTACCTTTATGCATTTTTTTGTGCATTCTAAAAGCATGAAGAGCGGCTGACGCGTTGCACTGGTTGAGGTAAAAGAATTTGACCAGTAACGCACGCTCGACTAAAGAAGGAGACATTGCACATAAACTTTCAATCCAATTGATTTGAAACCCAACATTGCTTTTTAAAACCCAAGCAGCTGGCACTGTGGAATGGATGTAACGTGAAATTTGAATAAAGAACTTCTTCTGCTCAGCGTACATGATACTGCAGATCACGAGACTTTATCAGTGTTTATGTAGATTTTATGCTTTTTTTAAAAGTGTTGCCATATTGCACTTGAACTAAATCAGAAAATGTGCATAATAAAAGGTAATTTTATTTCACATTAATTTGCATTAATTAACAGTCTATTTTCTATTACACAGCACCAAATATACACCTAGCGGTGACTTCTGGAACTAATTTGTTTTTTTGCAGAATTCTTCGTCCCCCATCTTGTTTAATCTTCCTACCAAATGTGGCGTCATTTTCGAAAACAGATCGCGCTACAGAACAATGTGAGCACTGTCAGTTTAATTATGGCCACCCGGTACTGTCATCTTGTCTTTAAGTCACATTTTAATTTCATCATTTATGCAAAATAACTTTCTTAAAGAAACATTAATAAAAAATTAATAATTTCATCATGTCATCTTACTAGGTTTAAACTGATGATCAAAAGTTCAGAAATTTCTGAAATCTGGAATTGAATTCCAATGATTCCCAATCTCGAATTTCACATAGTAATACACGAAAAGCAGAAAGCTGACGTCTTTTCACTATGAACTCATGAATAAAAATATTGCAGATTGTATATTCTGTATGTAAATCCTGTTTCGATGATTCTTATTGGTTAAATATGCATGTCTATTAAATATAAATAACTAATTTGTGAGTTTTCTTAACTTTAGTTGATTTTATATGATGATTTAATTATTGTTATTTTATGAATTACTTGCAGACATCTTTAATAAAGGAAAAAGAATAAACTTTATCTATAAATAAATCGATAGAGAAACAAAATTGGCTAGAATTATTATTCAACTTTCAAGTTCAATAACTATTTAAAAAAATCTATTTTAAGATTTGAAATCATTATCAGAAATTGAACTGTGATAAATTTATAGTCTTATTGTTATTAAACTGTAATCACATGATCTATTCTTACAACTTAGATTATTAATAGAGTTGACATTTCATGTACAAGAGATCAGGAGTGCCAGCATCCTGCAAAGTTTCAAATTCTCATGTAACATTTGACTGTCCCAAAATTTTATTTCCATTAAAAACCTGCTACTGATTATAAAATTTTCAAGAAAATATAGCTAGTAGATAATGTATGCAGTAGTGGCCAAACTTGTGAAAATCTTTTGGAAAAAATTTACTTTTGAGATCTGGTGTCTCATAACAGCATTCTGAAATCATACATCAACGAAAAAATATTTTTATCAATGATATAATGCCTGAAATTTTGTTCAATCATCTATATTCTATCGAACACTATAAACACATAGCCCCTCAACAACAACAAAATTAAAAAAAGAAAAAGAAAAAAAAAAAAAAAAAAGAAGCCCAACTCTTAGTTTTATTTGAAAACAATTTTTCCTTTTTGTATATAGCCAATAAGCTGAGAAAGTATTTGGACAGACTATCAGACATTATCTTGTTTTGGCAATGAGCCAATCAAATCACAGTAAAATTCAATTTAATGATGTCATGTACAATAGAACTCATAGAAAGATATTTGCTATGAAACTGCTATCAATTGTACTATTAAATGAACAAAGCTACAGATGTCAAGACATAGGGTAAATTGGTAGAAACATAAATCAGATGTGATATTCCTAAATTTTTGAAAAGTATAGGAATAGTCAGTCACCTCTTGACTTGTAAATTTAGTCACCTCTTGACTTGTAAATTTAGTCACCTCTTGACTTGTAAATTTAGTCACCTCTTGACTTGTCAGACTTGTAAAATTAGCAAAAGAAACGTAATACAAAGTTATAATAAAGAATCAAAAGACTGCGCCCACGCAATATGAAAAAGTCGAATGTGAAATTGAGTTCAAGAACAACAAAT